TTTTTTGCAACAAAACTATCTGAAAATTCTCACGTACTTTTAAATTGAACTAAATAATGCGCCGATAAAATACAACAAACGGATGTAGGCCGCAAACATTTATAAAATAATAATTATTGTCACCAGCGTTTCAATCTCGACCTGACCATTTAATTTGTACAGTATACTACATAAACAGACATACAGCGTGCATTAAGTCGTTCGGTCTGCGAAAACAATTGACCCTGATATGCTGACTATATTATAATATATGTACAGTAAATTCGTAACGATAGCCTTCGAACGAATTTTAGCAACGCACGCGCCTTAAAAAACGCTCAGGCCTATATATAATAATAATAGTTGAAACGATAATGCGATAGTCCCACGTCACAATAATATAAAGTAAGAATATTATATTGCGCTATTATTTTTATTCGTATGTGTATATTATACCAACAGATTTAAACAACAGAAAGTTTATTGTGCGGTGAAAAACAAACTGTACACGGCTACGTCATATATATACGTATGCCGACTATTATTATAGAGAGTATACCAAGTACGTGTATATGGTCATAAAACGCGGTTATAAACGCGTTCGGATTAAAACGAAACGACGATTTTTATATGCCCAATTATATACAATAGCTGATGCATTGTCACTTACGGCCAGATCGTGTTCGACAGCGATCGTTTGCAAAAGATCGAGAGCACTGTGGACCAGCGTATTCTTTCTCAGCGAATTTTCCACCTGGTACAGCGGCATAACGAAACTGTCCACCACGATTAATTTCACCTGTAATTTTAGGTTTAATGATAACATCCGTGAGATGATATTATATAATATACACGTCAACGATGACGAACTAATGCGAGTATTATCACGATAACAATTGCATATTGTATACAAAAAAAAATATCGCTTATTATAATATAATAATAATTTATATTGTATAATTTATAATAGGCATTATATTATGTGTATATATACTTTCGGGTGACGTTCGAGAGTCGTATACAAAGCGTGCAGCTGGTTTAGGTCATTCATTTGAACCCTGTGTATTTTACTCAGCATGCCAGCGGTGGTCAGACTCTTTAGCAACTCGCTGTTGGCTGCTCCTTTGAAATCGTTGGGTCCCGACAACACTTTAGACACATGGCCGAGGAAAGCGTCGATCATTTCTGAAAACGAATGTAACGAGCCACTTGATATCATCACAGTCGTGTTTATATATGTATATGAATAACACTGTAACAACGCATTAACGCGCTGCAGTGAGATTAAAATTATAAAATCTACACGCGACGAAATAATGTAATATTTATGCGTTATAGACAAAACAATAACAATAACAGTAATATATATAATACTACTGTAAAGCCGAGCTGGAGACGAAAGTACAGGAAAAATATAATGTGAACTATTATTGTATTTGATTAATAAATAGGTATATAGGGATTAAATAATTTGAAATAACGGGAATCGGGTAAATAAATCTCAACGGAAATACTCTTCAACATAATATAATACGATATATTGTTAATGTTGATTGTATATTACTATTTTTGAATAATAATTGGGAAAGAAGGCGAAGGAAAATAAGAAGAAGATATTATTTTTGAATATCTATAGCATAATATATTAATTTGTGATTTGTATTTAAGTAGGTTATATAATATATGTTTTAAAAAATTACCAACCTATTCAGGGGCGTAATTAGGGGGGATATGGAGGATAGATTCCCCCACAAGCTGTATTTATATATTGACTTTTTCCTACAAATATTTTAAATTCAAATTAATAAAAAAATAAAAAACGAAATTAAGTTGTATCGGTTATTGTAGTACTATATAATATTAGTTTATTACTCAGTAAGCAATAAGCATGAATTTAAAATAAATTTAATATTCATCTTGATCTTATTGAATTATAAACACGGTGCCCTACCGCACATTGTATTTAATTAGTAATTACAATACCTACATGCTACATACACAGAGATACGAGATAGATAATACTCCAATAATGGGCAAAACCGAAATTCCAAAAATTTAATCCTAAGATACTACGGATACCACTTTYAAAATTTCACAGTAAACGACACAAATATTAATATGCCATAATGAGATATAAAAAGTAAAACGGGGGGTATATGAGTGGCAAAGCCCCCACAAGTTGGTATTAAATATTTATTTAGATAACCCCCCTCCCCCCAATGAAACATTCTCAATATTACGTACCAGTTAGCCGAAGTTCGGAAAAATTTGAATTTGTATCGACATAAATTGCTTCGGCTTGTAATCCTTCAAAACACACGGGTATTTGAACGGAAACGCAGAGTTGCATGCTGAAAAATTATCGTAAAATATATTAAAACGAGGATCGAGATCATTTTTACTGAAATTGAAGCGGCATGGACGTTTACCATAATTGACTTTTGCCCGAACCTGGAGCTCCAGACAATTCTGTTATCCGTCCAACTTGAACACCGCCGTTTAAAAGTTCGTCAATGGACTTGCAGAACGTAGCAATGCTATCGCGTTCAATGTCCTGTACAGAAAACGAAAAATGTTTATGATGATTGCGTTTTACCATATAAATAATTAGTTATAAACGACTTTTATGCTTTTATATACGTTGAACTTATAATATAATAAGTATGATGACTATAGGGAACGGATTTATTTACATTTTGCATATTTTTTTGGTTAGTTCAAAAGATTTCTAAGTAAAATAGAAATCCGTTTAACATGTTGGAGATTAAAAATGCACTACTTTGGTTTTGTATATTTTGGTATTTTTATTAATAAATGCATATTTTGATATTTTATAGGTCTTATTATTGATTTTTTAGGCCATATTATACTAATATTGTATTACCTTCGTTGSCTATCATCGAAAAAAACTATATACTCGTATATATAAGTAGTAAGTACATATATTTTTAACTTTTAATTAATTTTTTTTTTACTTTCATATAATTTTGTACTTGTGTATTAAATAAATAATAATAAATATAAATATATAAATTTTAAAGCATATTTGTGTTATAAATGCATATTTTATGGTTTTTTTTTTAAATAAATGCACATATCAACATATTTAAGTGCATATTTTTTTGGGCATATAAATCCGTTCCCTAGTTATGACTTAACATAAATATTACCTAACCTTTTTGTACTGGCGACCCAAAATATTAACCCAATTTTTCATGTGACCATTTAAGATTCTGACCGGAGCGAGGAATGTATTAGTTTTATACAATTATGTTTAATTCATTTTTATTATGTAAACACTTTTTCTCCCTCTAAACTTGCTCAAAAGTATCATGTTTAGCATCTTTTCTGAAAGGTAATGTTCTTGAGCTGGTACTTTAGAGAGGTCATTTTCCGATTTTCGAAACGGCACTCGAAATAAAAGTGGTTAAAGGAGAAAAACGTATACGATTTCACGATTTTATAATATTAAATAATTACGGACGACGTTTTCTACCAGAAATATTGTTTCAAATGAAAAATGACAAGAAATATTTTTTGTTGTATTTTGTATTTTGTTCTTTACGGCTTAAAGTTCGGAACATTTTAGTCATTTTAAAGCTATTTATAGAAATTTTAATTTTGGTTGTTTTTTTTGTTGTAATATTCGGTTAAAAACATTCGTAAAAACTTGAAATTTGGGTTGTTTACTTATATTAGCCTTACCTAGACATGGTAAAATTTTCAAAACATTTGAAGGACTTTTTTCTTTTTAAATCTAAGATTTGAAAAATTTGAATAATCTATAATATATTCTAGACAGATAAACCGTCTCCGCTCAGAATCGTTTTTCGTATACAATGATATAATATCATTGGATCCAAATTTAATTCCATCCATTACAGTAACCCACTTGTTACCTACTGTACAGCAGAGCGACATCCACGACTTCCCCGCTTTTTTTATTAATATTTCATTGTATACATTTTTTACTTTTTACTTGTAAAAATTTACAGATTAAAAATACTACAGGATAACATTGCCTCAGACAATTCAAACTTATTAATTATGTAGTCATTCTGCACATTTTTTAGGCGATTTTTTTTTTTGTAATATCGAAACGTATACTACATAAATATGTATAGGTATGTGTGTTAAACATAACTAAATAAACTTTGTTTTCCACACTTTTACAGAGAATAAATTATTATTTTTATGTTTTACATTTTTGAGGATTTAAAATACCTACAATACGATAAATAAACTTGTGGTATTTTTATTGTGTTTATAAGAGTTTATATTCAATCTTAAATCTTATAATATTATAAGTTTTAAAATAAATCAAGATTTTCACTTACTAGTTCTGCAGCGGTCTTGTATATTGGAGATTTAAGCATATCGCGGATTTCAGATTCTGACTCCATATGCTTTCGTAAAAACTTTGATTTCTTTTCAGGATCGTCTATACATTATATCATGAAACAATTTTACGACACAATATAGAAAATGTTCACAATCAAATAAAATTAATCTATAATAATTAATAATCGTATTCACAATAGTTCTTCTGGTCACTTCACATATATAGATGTATAAAAATGATAATGATGAAAATTAAAATTAAATATTACCCAATGCATCGAGCAAATCTTCACAACACTTGTATCCCAGTTTGTCCAGTTTACTGATTGTATGCTTGCTCAAAGGCAATGTCCAAATAGGCCTGTTCATGGTTACGCAGTTCTGTTAAAAATAATTAGGTTAATGTCTAATTACGACGACAAAAAATAAACAATTTTTGAATTTTATGTACACATCCAGTTCAATTGCATACGCACACCGTCGTCATAATATAATGAAATAGATATTCGCATTTATAATTAAATCTTACATGCAGCTAGCAAATAAGACGACTGCGAATATTTGTTACATTTTAATATGCATAAAAATGGGTCAAAGACGAATCCATTGGGATATTGTTTATTTTTTCATTTAATTACTTGCACAGATTCTTCCGGCGGTATAAATCGCATATATAAAGCCCACCCACTATGGTTTGTAATTACCATTACAGTTTTATTATTCAAAAAGTTCACAACTATTACACAGAGTATATATCGTCAGCTATGATTGTAACAATTGTTTTCACGAGTTTGGTGTTGACGTATGATGTGGTTTATGGAAATTATCATCACAACAGAAACACTACGCTTCACAAATATGGGTAAGTAATTTATAATACACTGCCAACTGACCAATTGTAATCGTTATCTTTATTTTTTATTGTCCTTAAACAATGATACATAAAACCGTCGATTAAATTTAAATTTAAACACAATCGAAAATATTAACGACAATTTTTAAGACGGAAAAAAATTAAAAGTATTTACCTGCGTTTTAGCAATGCGTAACTCTAGCATTGTATTCGTTATATTTTTAAGTTTATATAAATAAATAAATGTCCGACTAAAAATGTCCGAAAAAAAAATTCGTTGTGAGTATAGAGTAGGTACACATGAAACTCATTGAACGGAAAGTATTGCGTCAAAATAAAATGGAAATGGTAAAATAAAATGCAATTGAAACAAATAAAAAAAAAAAAAAAAAATGCAAATCCAACCCCTAAATATATTGGACATTGGTATATACAAATAATATAAAGACAGGCGAGTCTCGATAGCTTTAATTTTTTCCTAGCCCTTTGAAGTTTTTATATATAGAATTTATATTTATTCTCATCGAGATTCAATTTATCGAGAGTTGACTGTATATATAACAGTATATACATGTAACATGTACATTATTAATATCTACGTCGTTTAGCGAAAAGTTTTGGGAAATATTTGACGAATTCGATTTTTAGGCCCAATGTTTGCGCTGTCGAAGAGATTTCGTCGGGCAAAGGCGGCATGTCATCGCACAGGGAGCGTGGCTGGCCAATAGATGATCGCCAGCATCGAACTTGCGGGCAGAACACGTTGAGTGACTTAACTCTGGGCTGCGGTGATTGCAGTCACCCGGAAACGATGACCCTAATTTAATTTGTATTATTTTCTTTTTTTCTCTATTGTTCCGAGTATAGAATTGTGAGGTATGAATGCTGCTTGGGATTCAAGTCGATGTATGGGTGTCCAGGGTGCACCGGTGGTGAGTACAGAATGATAATTACTAAAGATTTTATGCTATATTATGACGATCAAGACGCGTCTTATATTTTATCATCTGTGATCTTTTAGTTCCTAACTAGGTACGTTTAAGTGATAATCTATATATTTTCAATTACGCGTATATTGACAAAACCGCGGAAATCGACAATGAAAATATATTTGATCAAATAACGACAAATCACCTATTAACATTATATAGAAATAATATATACATACTATACACAATGAACTATGTTTGAGCAGCGAATGATATACCGCAGCTGTAACGATTTACAATAAAAATTATTTACAGTAAAACCGACAAAGAACGTGTTGGAAACCGCTCAAGAACTCGGGGCTCTCGAGTTTGTCCGTTACGTCCGACAACATGGCTTGTACGATTTGTTGACTAGCGGCGGTCCATATACGATATTCGCTCCCACCGACGAAGCTTTTTCAGTATATATATTATTGAATCATATATTATTATTACTATTGATATTATTTTATTGTGAACCATACGATAAAAGCCGTATGACACCGTTTTTATGACATTTAATCATTTTTTTGTTCTGTGTGGTGTGTAAATGTAGAAAATGGATAACGCATATCGGTCGGCCATGGAGTCTTACGAATCGGCCATCGAGATACTCAGATACCACGTGGTGCCCTTGAGGATCGTGACACAAAACGTATCATCCAACGAGATGTTTAACACGTTGAACGATGGACTTCAATTGAGGTTTAATAAGTATTCGACAAAAGTGAGCAACATTTTCCGAGTAAACTGATAGGATACTGTACACGGAATGTCGACGAACGATATTTCAGCTTATGAAATGTTGATAAACCGCGTTTTAAAATATTGCAGCTATAACATATTATACATTTTAACATACAGGGGGGTTACCAAATAAAATTTAACTTATAAAAATATATATGAATGACTATTAACATTTACAAATACTTATTAGGCTATAATGGTAAAAAGCAATGGTCATAATTTAAAAATATAATATAGGTACGCACATTTCGAATTTTAATCATGAAATCATTCATAAAATTTGGTATTAATAAACATTTATCTTAAATGCTTTTAAGTATTTTAGCCGTTCATTAAATTATAATTCATAATTATACATATCGTATCCTTCATTCGTCTTCACATTGGTCATAGCTTATTACTTCCTCACCATTCTTCTAAACTTAATCTAAACTCTTCCCCTCTTTGTACACTACATCACGACGACTCGATATGCAATTTTGATCACATCTTTTTCAATTGCCCTTCTCTCATAACTATTAACTAGTAGACAACTCCTTTTCTCTTTTTTTCTTTTTTTGGCTATATTTCTCCCGATTCTAATCTTCTTCTCAACTCCCGTTTCACCCCTATCATCCGTTCTCTTATCCAATTCATTCATACCACTGGCTTTCTCATTTAACGCTAATTTTTAATATTATTGTCTGTTTTTTGTTTTGATACATCATTATTTTGTAATCGCTTTGCTATAATTATTTTACAATAAAATGCAAATTAAAAAAAATTAAATAAAAAATAATTATACATATTTTACATGTGGAACTTATTGCATTCGTATTATAACCTATATGAAAATGAGTTGGTAACAGATGCGAGTGATTGGAACCATTAAGGGATATATGTCGGGAGCAGATAGCCGATAGATCATATTTAAAAAAAAAATAATAATAATGACGGTCTAAACGTTTTTGAAGATTTTTAACTCATATTATATTATAAATAAATTATCGCAATCGGATGTTAGAATAAAAATCGATTTTAATAAATTGAATTTTGTAGATTGAAACAATAAATTGTGTTACGATAATGCGTAAGAACCGAATTGCTCAAAATGGAGTGGTGCATTTGATAAATTCCGTACTAAGTCCTTACACTTATTCAAATCGTAATTTGGTGCAAATTATCAACCAGGTCAGACATAACTTAAAAGGCTTTTTTCGAAAAAAAAAAACCAATAAATAGTAACGAAAATAAACCTCGTGTGCTTGTAGAATCAAGACTTAACAATATTTTCAAAAATGCTCGAAGTTTCGCGTATGCACCAAAGTCTAAAAGAACCATTTMAAACACTCACGGTTATGGTTCCTACCGACATGGCATTACAAAGATTTCCACAAAATCAACTCAGAAGAATATTGAATGACGAATCACTAAGCAAAGGTACGTGTGAAATTGAACGACAATACGTACGTAATATTATATCGTAAATGTTCGCTGCCAAACGTCAAATGCACGTCATAGTTTGTTAGTAAATACATTGTACACAGAATATATCAGTTTATAAACCACAATAATAATTACAATAACAATAAAATTAGAAAAAAAACCCGTAACCTATACCTATTTAAAAGTATATATGATGACCAAGAAAAATTCATAAGATTTGTCGTAAATATTATATAAATAATACCTAATAATGTTAAAACAGTCACATGTCACATAGGTATAAAGTATTTTTGATTTGAAAATTTTCTTAAGCGTTTGTGTTAAAACACATATTGCCGGCACCCGTTTGTTTGAGTGCCTTCACCGAAGATCAGTACGTCAGGAGCTTGGCGGACAGCAATTACGTGAAATTCAGCTGCGACGGGAAAAACACAGTGATGGCTCAAGGAAACTGTATCAATAACGATTTGAAATTAACGTCCAATGGAATTATTTACGCAATAAATTTCGCACTAAGCTCAGAAGAAGGTATTATTGATTAATATAATATGTGAATTATATACTTATATAAGCAAAATATAGATTATATTGCAGATGACATAAAATAATATATAATAATAATTAATTTTATAAATGAACAATTTTAATAATTGAATTTTTATTTGGGATAAAAAAAAATTAAAGGAACCTATATATAATATACATGAATAACGTTCTACGTACATATATCCACTTTGATACTTGCATTTTTTGAATTCTTATAAAATCGTACGTTGTATACCAAAAACGGTTCTTGAGAAGCCACAAGGAGGGGCGGGTGGCGAAAATATTTTGTATATACTTATAATTTATATACATATCTCGTGTATATTCTCTTATTAGTTTCATATTTTTACATTCCCCCCCCTCCTAGTGGCGTACCTATTGTGTATATGTATGTGTGTGTAGTAGTGGTA